GCTCGAGTTGCTCTAGTTCCTCCCTGTTTCTCTCTCTTTCTTTCTCCACTCCCTGTCTCTGGCTGCGCTACAGATTATACTTTATTTTGATCTCAAAGTGTCTCATTTAACATTAATTTAGATTTTAAAAAATCTAATGTCTGGACATGTGCTACACACCTCAGAATTAAATTTAAGAGAATAATGACAGTCAAAATCTGTTATGAGGATTACATATGGCAGCCAATGACTTTAGTGCTGTCAGTAGTTATGCTAGTTAGTAGGTAGGTTATATATATAAAATGTGATTTAATTTTAATCAACAAATATATATATTTTTTCACACACAATTAATTGCTATTTTGTTAATGTTTTTAATATGTTTAAAAGTGCTAAAGTTTATGCTTAAAAAAGGAAAAACTATGGCAAATAGTGATAAAAATTAACATGTAAATTGTGTTCTCAAAACAGGTCTTATTTTACTATTTTTTTCATTGACAGTAGTCTCAGACAAGACAGCATCCAAAAACCTGGTGTGCATTTCCTGTGATACAACCAAAATATACAGGGCATATACAGCTGGTCCCACTAAGCTTGGACAAATCTGCCAAACGGTTATCAAATTAAACCAAATTAGCAAGATAACAGCACCTCACAATGCACATATACTTTCAAACTGGCCTGCAAACCCCACAAAGGCTCTTCAAATAAACTAGTGACGAACCAAAACACACACGTCCGTCTGAGGGGGGATGTGTGCTGTCAGCGAGGAGTCATGAGGAATATTGCATTAAAAGAACCAGAGAGGAAAGTGAAAATTGACACATTTTATTGTTGTGAAAGAGGAGGAAAGCGCAAAAGAAACAGAGAGAGAAAGACTCCAGATCTAATCGATTCCATGCTTGCTTGTTAAGATACGCTGCTTTTCTTCTGCTGACACATAAAATAAAGAGAGCTGGTAATGCTATCTCTGAAAAATCCACTCCACCAAGATCTCGCTAAAACAGGCACAGCTGTTAAATGGATTTTCTCTTAATGTAAAACCAAAGTAAGACATCACTGTAAAAAGAGAGAGAGGGAGGCAGATGATATCATCCATCTTTCAGCCCTTTCTCCTCCTCCTCCATCCCTCGTTCGGCTAATTTAATTGTCAAGGTGAAAACGGGAAGTTCTGTCGTTTCGCTTCATAAACATCGACCAGTCATCGGCTAGTGTGTATTAGCGCAGGCTTATCTCTGGCGTGTTGCGGATGATGATGAATGCGTGTCTCCCTGAGGTCCCGTAGAGAATATGTGTGAGCGAGAGAGCGTGTGTGTTTTTTGTGTATGACGGATGGTGTAACGAGTGTTTATGGTGCATGTCGTGTGGTCTTCAGTATTAGGAAAAGCATTTTCAGGAGGTAGTTTCTTCTCCAGAGGCCGATCACAGCAAACCGTGCCTGTTCCGGCCACAGAACCTCAGGTAGGAAGGTTCACTGGAAAACCAGAGAAGTCTAGAATATGACTTCACTGTTTTAGAAGAGAGACGAATCATTTCAAAGTAACGCACATGTAATTAGAAACAACTGAGGGCCAGAGCAGATGACGCCAAAGGCATGAACATGTAGTTAAGTAATTCATTCTCACAGTGTTTTACGAATGCAAGGGCCAATTAGAGCATTGTAAAGATGTGAGGTCTTTAACGTGCTGACCGCAGGTGTATTTACACAGTGAAAATGTTCAGATAAAACACACAGGGCTTCTGCACTCACTTTGCTAAAAGGGAACACATGGAGCATGTCAGTGGGATCAGGAAGGTGCACAGCTTCATGCTTTATGATAGTTTGCATGGACCAGAGGCATCTGCTTCATTAAGTGGCACAACAATGCTTGAAAGAATATTCTGGGTTGGGTATAAAATAAGAAAGAAAAAATAATGTCAATTGAGCTTAAAGGAGTCCTATTATGCTTTTTCACCTTTTCAACTTTAGTTAGTCTGTAATGTTGCTGTTTGAGCATAAAAAAGATCTGCAAAGTTGCAAAGCTCAAAGTCCACTTCAAAAGGAGATCTTTTATTTAACAGAAATCACTTTTCAAAAACTACAACAAACTTGGACTACAACGCATATTTTCCGGGATTTGTGATACCACAAATATCGACGAATGGGACGAGACCTGGTTGAGCTGCACTAGAGAAGGCAACGAGTGTTATCACTATGTCGGAGACACGCTAGCTTTCCCAAGGCAGATGAACTTCGAGTGGTTACAATCATCCGGGTTTAAATCGCGCTCAAATTGATTTGATATTGACGCAATTAGACCTGTTGCGATAATTAAATAACCGTCTAATCGTGATTATTTGATCTAGACTATTTTAAGTCGTAAAGTAAGCAGTATATATTAAAATCCCGCGCATGGCTTTAGCAGGCATGCATACATGATACTAAGCGGGGTAGACGGTGCCTGAGACCTCCCGAGTTCAACAGTGCCCCACAATTTTGCAACATAAATCTGTGGTGAAAAGGGGAACTGCAGCGCGCTCTAACTGAGAGCCATTGGGGCAGATTTGAGACTGCCCCATTTATTTTCACGTTACCTTACGTGAACCTCGCTCCATGCACCAAGACGATATCAATCCGCTTCAGCTATGTGTCTGCATCAGGTCAGTAACTACTTGGCATGTCTGTTTTTTTCTATGTGGAGTAGTGGATCAAATTAACAAAGTAGGCTATACGTTAAATCCTTTAGTTTAAATGTGCTCACATGAATAGCCTTTATATGGTTCTGTTGTGTTTGTTTTGTTTATTCTGAGAATAGACATAGGCCTATGATCTTCTTTCCTCACCCGAATTGCTCCACAACTTGTAACATTTTAAATCAACTTTTGGAGGTGATAAATATTATATTAAGGCAATTATTATATAGCATTTTATGCTATAACATTACTTCGAGCCTGTCAATAAACATTTGCGCGCCACCCACAGGATAACGCAAGGACATCTCTGCCAAAATTTTGTCCCCATGTGTTCAGAGATTAGAATATAAAGCTTACAAAATGTTTTTCATATATTAGCGCTACGACCCAGAATCTGCCCCACCGAAATTTACGGTCAGGAGCCGCTACAGGGTGGGACTATCTGTTTGTTTGACCAATGGCAAAAAAGGGCATGTTCAGGGAAACCTGTTTGAAACCTATTTATTTCCAATTCAGGCTGGTGACGCTACTGGTGCAGAAATTACACACTTTACATTTTAAAAGTATAAAGTCACATCAATAAAAAATTTTACAGACCACAGCACGGTTTATCCCTCCATTTGGAATATTTCTTCTTAAAACTGAGATGAAGAGACTTGTGTTTGTACCTTTCATCTAGGTTTGTTCCTTTACTGTCAATAATGAGGTCTTAAACCACTCGGTCTGTGGTAAAAACAAAACAAATAGCCAGAGTTTCCTCTCTTTTGTCTTTTTATGCTCGCATTTTCCGTCTGCATTCGGTGACCGTGTTTTATCCCCCTCTCTTTTCTTCTCTCTTATTGTTGCTGTAAATCCGAAGGGCCTTTTTGCAGTTTTACTGGAACAGAGAGTCATTAAATGGTTGATTTCAGATGGCAGTGTGTGAATGTTTTAAATTAACTTTATTGATCTGCTAGTCCGCCAGTCAGCCAAGGAAAAATTGACACCCGCTTGGCGCATGGGCAGTAGATTTGCACCTCGGCCGTTTAAAACGCCTGCTTAGCAAGGCTGGCCATGCTCCACGCACTCGCACACGGTGTGGTTTGGTGAATACACCCACACTGAGTTCAGGATATTTAAAGACCTGAGAGAATGGCATCAAATAAAAAGTGAATTGGTATAGATGTTGTTCCTTTGGGAAACAACAGGTTAAAGGATTGTTCTCGGTTCAAAATGGATGCTTTGATAGCACCACACAGCCACAGTGTTTAAAATTGATAGTAAACTCACGCTACAAATGGCTTGCTTAGAGTTGTCTTTGCATATTAAGATGGGATTGAAGAAAGTATTTTAATCCCAAAAATATTCAAATATTTCATCCAAAATTGTACACACTTCATCTTTAAATTATTGTTTGCAAACTTACAGTAACCATCATATAACCTTTTTATCATATTTAAGATAGTGTTTTTCCATATTCTCATTCATTCTTTCATTGTTTTTCTCCTTCTGTGGCCCCAACTGCTTTTAATTGAGCCCCAGCATCTAACTGCCAATCATTCTTTTGAGGGGCTGCTTCCAGGAGTCAGCTGACACTTAAGGGTTCAAAGACCAGAGGAAGGAGAACTCATGGTTTTGATGGGTAGAGTACTAGGTGTGCATTGGGGGAGAAGGCATTTCTGTCAACACCTGACTGGTCTACTCACAGGAAAATATTCTTACCACACACACGCTTCACTCTTTTATTCAGAACCAGTTCCCTTTTTTTGAATAACATTGATGTTTGGTTCCATTAACAGTTCTCGCACTTGCATTCTTCTGCCGCTGCAGACATATACTACACCAAAATACAACAAAAAAATGCAGTATTAATTCAATGGAACCACAACACTGCTACTCAAACTACAGCGTAAAACAGAGGGCGCAATGTAGTCCGATTACAAACCAAATGACTTATGAGCCGGCCCTTTTTAGTGAATCAAAAACATACTGTGTAACCAGTGTAGTCCGACTCCTGAATCCCAAACACACATAATTAACCAATCAGACTGGTTGTTTATATGACTTAATTTTGTTTGATAGTGATGTTTAATACATATTATCACCAAATAACTGGAGAAGTTCAGCACCAAAAAGAAGTCTTTCACTTTACAGGTCAAAAAAAAGAAACATATGCACAGATGAATTGTTCACAATAAGACCAATAACATGCATTTAAAAACTAGATACCATGAATTTCCATTTCATGGTAACTTTAAGTACTAAACGAAGCATTAAACTGAAGCGTTAAGGATCTGTAATCATTAGGAGGAACCTGAATCATTAAATTCTCTACAATTCCCATTATTAAACACTCTATATAATATCACCATTAACTCTCTCCTTGACATTTACAAACACACATGTAAACAGATACATTTTATCAGCATTTCTTAGGTACACTTTTACCATCCAAAAACCAACCCAAATATCTCTGCCAACCTGTCTAAAATATGCCATTCATTCACTGCAATCTCACCAGTCACAAAGTACAAACACACACAAGGCCATTTTTCTGTCTACTTGGTCTCCTGTGTGTCCTGGATGTGAATAGGTACTTCATTCATTTCATCTGTTCGAAGCTGAAGCCCAGAGAGCCGACTCCATCATTACACCAATAACTCTACACATTAATCTTCCTTCTAGACTCTGTTATTATACGCCACTGCCACAACTTACCCAAACACACACACATTCCCATTCCTCTCCCCTCAATCTGTGGGCAGAAATATCACTGCTCATCCTCTATGTTTCGCCCAGATCCATTACAAAATACTGGACCTGTTTAAATGAGACCCCAGTAGAGGCTCAGTTCTACTGCAGGGATGCCATCTTGGCTTGGGGAGTTGGGGTTAAAGCCTCACCATGTCCCAGAGCAGCACTGCGTTGGTTCGACTCTGCTGTGGCAGTTTCCTGTTGCTCACGGAGGTCTGGGTTTTAGAACAGGCATGTGCTGCCCTGTAGAGCCAATTGCTCAAACCCAGAGTGTTTAAATGAGAGCGAGATTTTTGTATGTGCCAAGGCAAGGGGAGGATATGCAGTTGTGAAACTTACATTAGCTTGTGAATCAGCACTGAGGGCATCACTTTGGAGGGTTTGGCGATGATAATTTAAAATGTACGTTTATAGAGTTTGGAAACACTACCACTGTTACTCTTTGAAGACACCACATAAAACTCTTACAATGTCTTTATCATAATGTAGATGGTTTAGTTTGGATGGCAAGTTACACAATTGAAAAAAATAATCCTGCAACCTGCCAAACAATGCTGAAAAATACTTTTTTTTCAATTATTATAAAATGAATATTTACAAATAAGTTTCTTATTTCTGAATTTAAAAAAAAATGATAATAAAACATGTAAAAAGTAAAAAAGTAAAAAATGAAACCCGTCAAATAATGCAAAAACAAACAAAATAACTGCCAGATTTTAATTACCATAAATAGGATAACTACCCTAATTAGAAATTT